CGTTCGATGGGCTGAATTGCACAAAATGCATGATCGCACCGGCTAGTCTGGTGCGCGTTGCTATTTTCTATATTGGAATTACACTTTGAGTATTTGCTGGTGCTCATCTCAGTACTTTGATCGGCTGTTAATTAATCGTGAGAGTATTTTTATGCCATTAGCGGGACAGGCGACTTTTTCGAGATTGTTTTTATCGGATCTGTATTATTTATTCTAACTGGTTTGTCTGGATTGCTTTTCGCTGACTCGTTTTCTTGTTGTGCTCATAAGACATGACGGATCTTCGCTTGTGTGGTTATTGAGTATGTAGACTATTCAGGCCGTATATTTTCCCGTAGCGGTCGCCAACCCGTGTAGCAGTGTGCTATGAGTTAAGTTAATGTTAGAAGATTTTATGTGATGAAAAATTGAGTGTATAAAGAAGTAAAATGCATTTACGGAACCTAAAATTTGTAGTTATATTCGTTCTTAGATAAAAAATTTAATACAGAATTAGACATCCCATTATGGGCCGGAACGCATAAGAAGATGTAATAATTGTTTTCAGTTTTATGAGCTCATTACTTGTGATTGGAAACTATACAGTTCAAGAAAGATTTGACATATTTCTTGACTGAATTGATGCTGTCGGCACACATAATGCGGGCTTTTATTGCAGTGTTGGACTTGCGTTTAACTATGCTTTGCATAATGTTTTTGGTCCCCAAACGAGATTGGATGCAAATGCGGCGAATGGTACCGGCGAACAGCAAATGCAGGTTGATGAACAGGTTCCAACTACGGCTGCTGAGGGAAGTGCAAGCACATCAGTAAATAAAAATACAGGATCGAGGGGTCCCAGTACAGCAAGCCCATCTAAGTCTGGAAGAAGGGCAGATGGTGCAAGGGATTCCGATATGACTCGAGCCGATGTTGTCAAAAGCTTAAGGGATGCGATTACAAGAATTGCGGATAGAGTAAAAATGCTGGATCGAGCAGAATTTGAATGTAGTGAAAGGAGAAATGCAAGATCAGCAGCATTTTTGGAGCAAACGAATATGTTGGAAGCTGTAAGCCATTTAAACGGTGCGGAATATGAGAGATATCAAAGGGCAGCATCCGAGGCTTTATCAGGTGAGCAGCTTTTGTGTAGAGCATCTGACTTTTCCTCATTGTTATTCGGGAATCGAGACCCGCTATGAATTGTCCAAGTTTTTTGCTCGTTTTTCAGGTTCTCCTTTACATGATTGGGCTACGAAAACTGATGTTGCGAAGCAGAACAATACTAAATAATTGCTGTAAAATTGATATGTAACAGTTGTTTTTTTCCCTCTCAATTTTAGTTCGTCTTTCATCTTTGCCACGTGTTCCAGAGGACTGTATGGATTATGAGCTTCCAGAGGCGGTGTTGGATGGCGACGTTCGTGATTT